TGAGATGTACCAAAAACCGTGTAGAGACCCCTATCTCTAGACATCTAAAAGAACATCATGACGGCTCATCTAAAAATATACGGTTCTGTGGTCTTGAGTGGGTCAAACGTGAGCCCAGATGGGGAGACTTCGATAAAATCCTGCGTCAAAAGGAGTGTAGATGGATCTACAAACTTAACACCTTACATCCTAAAGGCCTTAACGAGGGTTTCTCTTTCTCCCCCTTCATTTGAAACAGTGTGTCTGTATGCCCAGTCTATAATCTGGCCGTGGGAAACACTTTATCTGTCTATTCTTCTTGAGCCTTTATTTACCCATGATTATTCATCTGCCATTACTCTGCTCTACACCTTACTAATCATTTAACTTTACCACTTTATTATCATCTTTTGTCCTTATTTAATGTCGAGGGTCATGGTTTTTTGGCGCTTAACTTATTATGTGATGTTATGAAGTACTTATTTATTTCTTGGTGGGTCCAAACCGTTTTTTTTTTTTGTCTGCTTTAATTGCTGAATAACCTTCCGCACATTCCATTTTCTTGGGAATAGTATTGAAATCCTGACTACTGCTCTTACTATTAACATAACTATATAGCATCTCAAAAGAAAAATTTATTGAGAAAAATTACTCACAACCCGCCTCAACACCACTATAAATACCATCACCAAAAAAGATAGAGCAGACCTCCTAACTTACAATACCCAACCCACCACCAACACCATGCCCCTTCCTGTTATTTTAAATTTTAATAACAAAAGTGGCCATGTCAAAAAAATTATCAAAAAACATTGGCACCTCTTAAAAGAAGACGAAATACTTAAAAATATTATACCTGACAAGCCTAATGTTGTCTTTAGAGGTGCCCCAAACTTCAAATCCATTTTAACCACCAATTTTACAAAAGAAACCAAACCTACTTTTAATTATTTTATGCCCAATGCCAGTGGCTTTTATAAATGTAAAAGATGCATTGTATGCAAAAACACAGACCCCTCCGTCCCTTCCAAAACCACCAGTTTTAAATCTAATATCACCAACAAAACCTATAAAATTAAAGATTTTATCAGTTGCGATACCAAAAATGTCATCTACTTGTTGGAGTGCCCTTGTGGTCTCCAGTATGTAGGGATGACCACAACAAGTCTTAAAGTGAGACTGAGTGAACACTGTAGAAATATCAAAAAAGGCTACCTGAATCACTCAGTCTCCAAACACTTTTGTACACATAACAACGACATAAGACACCTTAAATGCATCAAAGAGGAAAAAACTCACAGGCACTCCAACTTCAAGCCGCAGGCAGATTTATTATGACAGAATGCAACGCAACGTTTCGACCGGAAAGGTCTTTTTCAAGCTGACACCACATGGTGCAAAATGTGCTTATATAACAAACACTAACAACTAAGAAATCAATCAATCAATTACTGCTAATTAGTAGAAATTCTTAATTGATAAAAAGGTAATTTAAAAAGGCATTGTAAAAGAAACAAATATCAAATGTGAAATATTACAATATATACATAAATCAGATAAATAGTGCACACTATATCATTAACTTCATACACACAAGACATGAATCATTCTATGATCATATTAATGCTAGGAATTCTAAAATGTGTATATATATATAGGATAACCTATTATGTCATGAGTATTCCCTCGTTACAAATACTGTGCCCATAGAGGAGAGAAGAAATACATAAGAAAAGAGCAAATAAAAAAAGTAAATACATACAGCGTATCCTCCATGGTATCCAAACGCGACCCACTTCCGGGTCTGTGAACCGCACGTGACGTCATTGGAACGCACGTGCGAAATCTTCCTCCGAACGGATTGGCTGGAGGACCAAACATAACATCGTTCTGTGTTTAATTCACCATTGCACCGCCCACATAGTGGAGTATGTTCACTCTGCCACATCACTATCCCAAAGTAAATCTTCACAGAACATCCTAATCATTCAGGCATGTTATATGGCACAGATCTGGAAAATAAATCTATTAGATGTAATATACAATATAAGTAAATAAACAAGAGTAATAGTTATTCATATAGGAATACCAGAGATGGATACTTAGAATAATCATTATACCAAATAAGAGCCAATTCCATATTAAAGGTACAGACCTCAAAAGTCAAACACCTATACCTGGCAAAGATTAAATAAAAAAGGAGACAGCGAAAAAAATACAGGGACAGTGAATTCCCATATGGAACATGAGAGTCTGTATATATAAGGACAGAGACTATATAGTCTCATTATATTCTCTCATATATAGGCACAGTCGACATCATTCCAGATTAAAGGTACAGACCTCAAAAGTCAAACACCTATACCTGGCAAAGATTAAATAAAAAAGGAGACAGTGAAAAAAATACAGGGACAGTGAATTCCCATATGGAACATGAGAGTCTGTATATATAAGGACAAAGACTATATAGTCTAATTATATTCTCTCATATATAGGCACAGATTTATGGAAAGGGGTTACCCTTTACCATTGCTTAATACTCAGCTCAACCAAGTGAAGGATCAGGATAGAGAGGATTTACTCCACTCCCATAAATCACAACGGAATGACAAGAGGTTAAAATTTGTATCCAAATTTGGGAGATATTCAGATGATTTACGAAAAATTGTATATAGGCATTGGCATATTCTTGCCCAATGTCATCCTAACATTGTGGAATTTTCCCAAAGACCTATGTTTGCCTACAAAAGAGGCACCTCGTTGAAAGATAAATTAGTGAAAACTTTGGTTCCTGAGTCTACTGACACTTTATCTGATGTGAAACAAGGTAATTTTCCTTGTTACAATTGTGTCTCTTGTCATTCGATGATCCGGGGTGATGTGATTCATCACCCGCGGAGTGGTAGAAAGTACTCTATTAAACAATACTTGACTTGTGATTCTGACTTTGTCATCTATGCATTGAAATGCCCATGTGGCCTTCTATATGTGGGGAAAACTAGTCAGAAATTCAAGATGAGATTCTCTAAACATAAGTCCACGATTCGGACTAGATTGACTGATTTGCCCTTACCGGCACACTTTATAGAGGCTAGACATGGGGTCTCTCAGCTCAGATTCCAGATTCTAGAACAAATTATGGAATCTCCTAGGAGGGGAGATAGAAATCGGAGGCTTCTGTTACGTGAGGCATATTGGATACGGGAACTGGATACATTATACCCAAAGGGTTTGAATTATGAATATGATTTGTCTATGCTCATTTAAGGAATGATTGCTTTATTTTATCTTTGTTTTTTAACTCTCCCTTTTTTTATATTTTTCAGGACTTTTTAGATGTTTGGTGCTGGTTTCCTAGACACCCTACTTTTGTCTACTACACGATATGATAAGCTGAATCTTTCAGGGACTTCTAGGATTTCTCAGGGACTACTAGGATGTGGACACATTTACTCTCTATTTAATGCACAATTATATTATTATAAGTACATGAATGCACTGTTAGGACATAAATGCACTTTTAGCAGTAAGGATGGTATTTCCGTCCTGTGGTGTTATACACTGTGATCACATTATTTGACTGGGATCACTTATTCAAAAACTAGTTAATTAACTTTTCACCATTTTTACACTGTGATCATAAGATTACCTAGACTGCTTGGATTTATTACTCATTTTGTTTATGATTTGTGGCACTTGCACTTTATTACTTTTTACTTCTTTAACATAGTTACTTAATTGAAGCACTGACTACTTGAGAGTTCCATATGTGGATATTAGATACTCTCCTTGTTTTTCTCACATAGATTATCGATAGATTCCTTATGCCTATATAGTCTCTGTCCTTATATATATATAGACTCTTATGTTCCATATGGGAATTCACGGTCCCTGTATTTTCTTTGCTGTCTCCTTTTTTATTTAATCTTTGCCAGGTATAGGTGTTTGACTTTTGAGGTCTGTACCTTTAATATGGAATTGGCTCTTATTTGGTATAATGATTATTCTAAGTATCCATCTCTGGTATTCCTATATGAATAACTTTTACTCCTGTTTATTTATATTGACTTATATTGTATATTACATCTAATAGATTTATTTTCCTGATCTGTGCCATATAACATGCCTGAATGATTAGGATGTTCTGTGAAGATTTACTTTGGGATAGTGATGTGGCAGAGTGAACATACTCCACTATGTGGGCTGTGCAATGGTGAATTGAACACAGAACGATGTTATGTTTGGTCCTCCAGCCAATCCGTTCGGAGGAAGATTTCGCACGTGCGTTCCAATGACGTCACGTGCGGTTCACAGACCCGGAAGTGGGTCGCGTTTGGATACCATGGAGGATACGCTGCATGTATTTACTTTTTTTATTTGCTGTTTTCTTATGTACTTCTTCTCTCCTCTATGGGCACAGTATTTGTAACCAGGGAATACTCATGACATAATAGGTTATCCTCTATATATATATATACATTTTAGAATTCCTAGCATTAATATGATCATAGAATGATTCATGTCTTGTGTGTATGAAGTTAATGATATAGTGTGCACTATTTATCTGATTTATGTATATATTGTAATATTTCACATTTGATATTTGTTTCTTTTACAATGCCTTTTTAAATTACCTTTTTATCAATTAAGAATTTCTACTAATTAGCAGTAATTGATTGATTGATTTCTTAGTTGTTAGTGTTTGTTATATAAGCACATTTTGCGCCATGTGGTGTCAGCTTGAAAAAGACCTTTCCGGTCGAAACGTTGCGTTGCATTCTGTCATAATAAATCTGCCTGCGGCTTGAAGTTGGAGTGCCTGTGAGTTTTTTCCTCTTGGATTATTGTACTGGGATTGCTGGTCCTGCTCTGGAGCACCCTTGGCCGTTGGGACTGGGTGCGGTTCTCATCACTTACTCTGCTCAACCACTGTTTTAAGGCTCTTGATACTGATGTCATAGCCTCAGCTGGATAGAGCCAGATGCAATATAGGCTTTTGATAAATTGGAGTCCACTCGTTTATCCATAGGATCTCTTAAGGTTCCAGCACTAGTTACTGCAGGGTGGTCTTTTTCGTCATACGTACAATCACTGCATCCACTTTAGGAGCCAAATCCCTTTGGACACTGTCGTCAGACTTAAAAGAGTAAAGCTTGGACATCCAACTCTGAACTGAGACCCTTTTCTCGGTGTACCTCCATTCCTCCTTAATTAAGTCTTCATGAAGAGGGAAAGTGGGATTCAGTTTTTTTAAGTGTTTACTTGAAATAATACATACATAAGGATCAATAGGGTAGTAGAAATATGCCTGCAAGAAAGCACAAGAAACAAAGAGACTAGTGCCATATTATCTAGGCATGTGCATGGGGAAAATATTCGGCTCAGTTCAGCATTCCGAAATTCGGAACTTCGTCAACTTCGGCACTTCGGATCTTAGACACTTCGGCAACTTCGGAACTTCCGCAACTTCGGCATTTCGGGACTTTTCTTGCAGCCGCTTGGTACATAACTCCCTAATTCCCACGGTATTAAGGAGTTATCTACCAAAAGGCTGAAAGACCTAAATTGGTCTTTCAGCCAAATTTACTAATACTAAGTAAAAATTACTTAGTATTAGTAAATTGTGCCCCTACTCGCTATACCGCGAGTAGGGGCATGTCTAGTAAAAAAAAAAAAGGGTCCCCCCTCCCTGAGCGGCGGGTGGGGGCCCTAAAGTAAAAAAAGGAGGGAGGACCTATTGTCCTCCCCACTGGCCCCCACCCCTGAGCGGCGGGTAGGGGCCCTAAATAAAAATTGGGGGGGACCTAATATCCTCCCCCCTGGCCCCCACCCCTGAGCGGTGGGTGGGGGCCCTTAACAAGAATAAGAGGGGGAACCTAATGTCAGGGGAGGGGGCCCTAAATACAAATTGGGGGGGGACTTATTGTCCTCCCCACTGGCCCTCACCACTGAACGGTGGGTGTGGACCCTAAATACAAATTGGGGGGACCTAATGTCCTCCCCATGGCCCCCACCCCTGAGCGGTGGGTGGGGGCCCTAAACAAAAAATAAGGGGGGGGACCTAATGTCCTCCCCCTGGCCCCCACCCCTGAGCGGTGGGTGGGGGCCCTAAACTAGAATAAGGGGGGACCTAATGTCTTCCCCACTGGCCCCCACCCCTGAGCGGTGGGTGGGGGCCCTAAATACAAATTGGGGGGGACCTAATGATCTCCCCCCTGGCCCCAAGCCCCTAGTCACCCCCTCCCAAAAAAAATAAACTCCTACCTACCCCCCTCACCCTAAAAATAATGAGGGGGTACCTTTAACTAAATACCTGTAAAAATAAAATTAAACTTACCATTCAATGTTTTATTTCTCCTAAAATCTTCTTTTTTCAGCCCCAAAAAAGGCCAAATAAAAATCCATAATAACCGATGCAATTAAAAAAAAAAAAAACGAGTGCAAAAAAAAATAATCCTTCTTCACCCGGCGAGGGCTTTTCGCAGACTGAGCACTACAATTAGGCTCAGAGCACTCTGATTGGTGGGTTTAAGCCATCCAATCAGAGTGCTCTGACAGGTAAATGAAGAGACTGACAGGTAAGTCTCTAAGTTCTTTGGAATTTTCCCACGCTGTGTAATTTGACTCATAACACCCTGATTGGTGGATTAAGTAACCAATCAGAGTGTTATGAGTCAAATTACACAGCGTGGGAAAATTCCAAAGAACTTTCCCACGCTGTGTAAAATGACACAGAGCACTCTGATTGGTGGATTTCAAACCAACCAATCAGAATGCTGTGACAGGTAAATGTAGGGTCCCCACCCACCGCTTGGGGGGAGGACATTAGGTTCCCCCCCTTATTCTTGTTTAGGGCCCCAACACTCCGCTCAAGGGTTGGGGCCAGGGGGGAGGACATTAGGTCACACCCCCCTTATTCTTGTTTAGGGCCCCACCCACTGCTCAGGGGTGGGTGCCAGGTGGGAGGACATTAGGTCCCCCTCAATTTGTATTTAGGGCCCCCACCCACCACTCAGGGGTGGGGGCCAGGGGGGAGGACAATAGGTCCTCCCCCCTTTTTTTACTTTAGGGCCCCCACCCCAGGCTGCTCACTGTTTAATAGACATGCCCCTACTCGCCGTACAGCCTTTTAGTAGATAGCTCCCTAATACCGTGGGAATTAGGGAGCTATCTACTTATTCATTCCTGTCATTACATGACTGGCTAAGTAACTTACATTTTATATGAATGTATGTTACTTGATTGTTGTAAGTGTTGCAAATGCTTACAGCTGAATCCTGTCTATGTTTGTATACTTTTTATTTGAAATTGTATACAGTGTAACATTCTTCTTCTTTCACTGGGTAAGTATATTAGTACTTAGACAATACTGTCCTTCGGAACTTTGGCACTTTGACACCTAGGAACTTCGGCACTTCAGCAATTCGGCACTTCAGCAATTTGGCACTTCGGCACTACTACACTTCGGAAATTCTGTAATTTCGGCACTTCGGCAATTCAGCTATTCGGACATTAGGAAGCACCCCGAATGTCAGAAAAACCCGAAATTCGGACCGAAACGAATTGCACATGTCTAATATTATCTATGCTATATGTCTTGAGATAAATAATGGAAAAATTAAAACTCACAAGTATAAAGCCAATATATACATCTGGCTAAAATGGTTAATGCAGTGGGACGATTAGTAGGATGTCCCCAATTTTTCTTCTTTGTGATAAGTAAAACCCACGGGGTTCCAATAGATTAAGAGCCCATAACTGAATAAAATCTGTGCCGTTTGCAATCTTTCCAATGTAATAACGTTTATTGCTCAATAAAATAAGAAATAAAAGTGAAACTAAAATAAAATCAATTAAAAATAAGTCCTGCAAGTCCTGGTGCCTTGTAACAATGTCCAATTCACCCTAGGACTTCTTCAGTTGGTATATATTTTGGTCCTGTCCTTTCTTACGTTTAAAAAGCCCGCTTGTGAGTCACTTTCAGTTTATCCTTCTTTTGTGTGGAATGCAGCGTGCGTTCCAGCGTGCTGCGTGCGTCTCCGGAAGATACCTGAAACCATCTGTTCCTACCAAATTGGAACGCTACATGCATTCCACCACCAGAACACCATAGAACAGAGAAGGAAAGGAGGGAAAAGGCCAAAACAAACACTGAAGAAGGGCATAAGCAGAAAGGAGGCCCTTAGCAGCCCCCTATTAGGGGTAATATAATCAAGCCAGGAAAAGGCAAATCCTTCTTCTTCACAATGCCAAATTGCATGTCAAATATCCAATCCAGCCAACATGGTTGAAAAGCCAAGATACCCCAGGACCCCACGAGTTGGTAGGTGACCCATTTTTGGGAATTATAACCTCAGGGGTCTGGCACGTCCAGCTACTATCTATAGAGTCACTGCAGCATAAGTACCTGGTCGCTAAGAGCAGAATCCTTTAGGAGGACCCTTTGGTGATGTGCTATGCCCTGAGGCTTCTATGAGAAGATAAGCCAAACTCCCCATTGGCAAAGGGTACTATTAGATCCAAGTAAGCCACAAAAGGAAAAAAGAGTAGGTGCAAAACATTCTAAGTTCAACTGAAGTGGACATTAAAAACAGACTGAGGATGTAGGGGATGGAGTCTCTCTTTTATTGTTTAATTAGGAGGTATTCCTGTCCAATTTGGGAGTGGGAGGAGCTATACCCATCTGTAGTGCTGCCATGGATATATCCGGGAAACACTGATTTATTGTATTTATTTTGACATTGGGACCGATGGGAGGGACAGAGGAATTTGGACCAAACATAGGAACTGTCCCGCTTAAAGCGGCACTGTCACCCTTTGGGGACTTTGAGGAATTCGAAAAGTCCCCCAATGGTGACATCGCCACTGTGGGTCCAGAAGCTGGGGGGCAAGTGAAGGTAGGATTTAATTACCTGAACCTGTCCCTCGTGGGTCCGGCTATCTTGATCCGGAAGGTTGCTCTTCAGCACCAATGTCACTGGTGTACTCTTGTGCATGCGTGAGAGTACAGCGTTGAGATCTGTTGAGGATCATGCGGCCTCCATAGGCACAGCCAATTCCCTGCAGCCATCACTGGTGACAGCTGTTGGGATTGACACTGTAGCTCCACCCAGAGTTTAAGAAAGTCAGGCTGAGGAAATATACAGAGACAATGTAATCCCTACTTTGTCTCTGTATAGCTCTTGACTGGGTTGGAATTTCAGTGATTCTATCTTTATGAAATGCAAATTTTTGTTGGGGGGAGAGGATGGGGGATGTGACAGGTTTGCTTTTAATAGGGACAATTAGGCACACCCCTCTGTTGCATTACTGGCATACTTTCTCTGCCCCACATCTCCCAATCACATACCTGTTATATGTATATATACAAAATACACATTTGGGGGAAATGTATTCTCACTCTTGATATAATTATGCAAATAATAATGAAAACCTCAGCAGAATTCACAGCATGGTACTCTTGTAGAGTTCTAGTTGGTATGCTACCTTTATCAGTACTCACCCTACCATATCCTAATCAGATAATGCCTTTATTTTGAAGTAAATGAAAAAGTAGTCGAATAACAATATATAAGAGGCTGTCAAATTATTGTTTATGTTTTTGTGCTTGTAATACTAATATTTATGCCATACTGAGTTCCATTTTTATTGTAGTCTATTTTATCTTTAACAAAATGTTACATTGAAACTGCTTAATATTATACTGCAATAGTCATTGCTATAGTTTAAGTTATAATTATCTACTATGTTAGCTATGTTTTGTTTTTTGTCAATCTTTGTTTTTATTGTGGCATAGATTATACAGATATGCAATAGGACATTCGTGACATTTCGATATAGATCAAAACAAGATAGTGTGAGAGTAAAGACGTAGATCTGTAATAATGAGCATGTTGAATGTTCAGATAAGGTTACGGAGTATACAGGCCACTTTTATAGTAGGTGAAAACAGGGTTATATGCCTTTAGTAGCTAACTAAGTGAAGTAACAACAATGCCATTGGCATAATATGAACGCTGCAGAACAAGCTGGGTGATCAAGGTGATATAACCCTGGCACTCCACTCAAGCCTATCGCTGTAAAGTGCCAAATCAAAGAAAATAGCTAACACAACAAAAACAGAATTTTTGAGTCAGAGCCTAAAGATACCGGCTATTGGGCAAAAGGCAATCAGGAGGGTCGTTAGGTAGCCAGATGCATGGTACGTGTCACACAGTTTAAGGTGATAAGCATGGTTTCAACCAATGCCTTGTTTAGATGGTAGAGGGAGGCATACAAGAAGGGATACGAGGCAGGAGCCGAGATCAAAGCCCTCCCAGCCCCAGGCAGATGTGAAGGCCTGCATCCCAGACCCACAGACTCGGGTCCTCAGCAATGAGTCCAAGTCTTTTCCTGTAGAGGGATGGCTGAAGCTCCTGATGGACTTTCGCCACCTGCAGCGATGGATCTTCCGCCTCTGTGGTCGATGCAGTGGGAGCTTGTCCCTGCTGGCCTTTAGCCCAGGTGGGCTAGACTTAGGAGACTTATTTGTCTTTGTAGGGAGGCTGTGCCCTTGGGCAGGGGGTCTGTAGGGGAGCCGGGGGGGCGGTCCGCTCGCCCCACTCTGTTCTGTTCTCCTCTCGTGATTCCGGTTTGGTGATGGTGTTCCCGCAGAGTGGGCTCCTATATTTTGCCCAGAAGCTGTCAAAAAGCTCATTCAGTCATGTCAACATTTGCTCTGCTGTACCACCAGGAGCCCTCATGGACTGCGGCGGTCCGAGTACTCGATGTGGCAGCCCATCCGCCATCTTGAAGACTTCTGATGCCAGTCAGTTAAGCATTGGAGTGGCTGCATAATGTCGGCTGAGTGATGGTGAGTAGGCCAGTGGGGACCGGGATAACCTTCACTGGTCCAGAAGGGGGAGGGGGGAGGGGGAACGACAGCTGTGTGCAAGTGTCGCCTTGTGAGCCAGAGAACTGGTTATTATTATTATTATTGCCATTTATATAGTGCCAACAGATTCCGTAGCGCTTTACAATATTTTGAGAGGGGGATGTAATAATAAATAGGACAATTACAAGAAAACTTACAGGAACAATAGGTTGAAGAGGACCCTGCTCAAATGAGCTTACAGACTATAGGAGGTGGGGTATTAGAAATATTAGGACAGGAAATATCAAGTAGGAGTGAAGCAGAGCTGGAGGAGAGAGCAAAGCACTGTCCCATAGGAGAGAGCAGGAGACAGGTATGTAAGGTAGAGATTACTCTGGGAGGCCATAAGCTTTCCTGAAGAGATGGGTTTTAAGGCCCTTCTTAAATGATTGAAGACTAGGGGAGAGTCTGATGGCAGTAGGCAAGCTATTCCATAGGAGAGGAGCCGCCCGCGAGAGGTCCTGCAAGCGCGAGTTGGCCGGACGGGTGCGAGCAGCGGTCAGGAGGTGGTCACGGGCAGAGCGGAGGGTACGAGGAGGGGCATATCTATGGATTAGTGAAGACAAATAAGAGGGGCTAGAATTGTTCAGTGCTTTAAATGTATGGGTTAGCACTTTGAATTGACTCCTATAGCATACAGGGAGCCAATGTAAGGACTGGCAGAGGGGTGAGGTGTGAGAGGACCGACTAGAGAGGAAAATCAGTCTAGCTGCAGCATTC